TGCTTGAATATTTGTTCATTGCAACCAAGAGAAGTGAGTTGGGTTGTAGGTCGTCTTGTTCACACATTTCTTTCTCCGTGAGACTGAGATAAGGGCGCTGTGATTATCTACCAAAGACAGTGTCATTCTAGATCTCTCCTGGAGCAAAACTTACTTTACTTTGTTTTTGTTTAAGTTTATTGTCAGCATTTAGATTGAAGCTTGGTTCATATTGTGATGGTTTTACAAGATATATTATTTTAAATTGTTTTTTTATTATTACTGTAGGGCTGCCAGTCAGGTATCCCTCCTGACAACTAGGATTTTTTTTAACAACCCTAATGTGTTTGGTTTGACCTGTGAGCCTTGACTAGTCCACTCCACAAAGTAATATATTCCAGATGTTCATCCCTTTCATAAAACAGTACTAAAATATTACTTATATTACGATACATATCTCTCCTTTCTTCTTCCAACTTACTATTTTTAGAGCAAGTTTATAGCCATTTCTGCAGCTTGTTTCATCGTTGCACTTGTTGTTCTTTAAAAAGACGGCACAGGAATCCAGCGTGGAACACAGTTTTGTTCTTGCATTGTCTAAGGCTGTATCAGACGGAAAATGGATTAGGTTCAACCACAAAAATATTTTGTCACTTCAAGAACATTGGACTTTCAGTAACTTATCCTGTAGATTTTGAACCTAAACAACGTTGATTTCACACAGACTATAGCAATCTACATTTTAATTGCCTCAACTATCATATAACTTTTTATTTAACAACTGCTGTGCAAAGGATGCGGTTTAATAATAGAATGAGCGTTATTCAAACTAACTGCAAAGAAAGAAGCCAAAACACTTGCCTTTTTTAGTTCTGCAGATTTTTAATAGAATGCAAAGATTCATTACCTGGAAACAAGTTCAAACACTGTATCTGATATGGCATAAAGAGACAGAAAGAAGAGACTGCCGAGACAGGATCATTACCAGTATTAGAATGTAAACTTTTACAGAAAGAGAGATGATACAATGCCACATGAAGGCATCCGTATTTACCGGTCAGAAAAGTGTGACAGTGAATAAACAACAAACACTCCCCACAAAAAACATCTCCAAAAGTGTCACACAGATATACACTGAAGACAAAAAGAGATTCATCCTTTTTTTCCCATCTGTATGGCTTCACCTACACTTCTTTTCTAAAATAAAGTAATTTACAATTTTTCAAAGTGGTCTCACATTTCAATAGGGAAGCATAATTTCATAGAAAGAATTTACCTCAGAACAACAGTTGTAGAGACGAGAAAAGCTGGGATTGGGATGGAACCTTACTTTGTGAAGAACATGATTGGCTGAAACACATAATTATTAATATCATTCACACAGGAAATTTTCTGACAAGATAACATGGCATATAGCAGATTGGAATCAGTGCAGATTGCTCTAACTTGTTGGAGCTGATTAGGAAATAGAGGATAAATGGAAAGTAATTATATCATGACAATTTAAGCATCACTAAAGGAGCAAGCCGGAGAAAAAAAATGCTTATGTGGAAGAGAAGCCAGACAGAAAGGATGAAATGTCTAAAAAGGGGGAAGAATGTGTCCATGCTTGTCGTTTAGGTTTATCTTCCTGTCCGTGTCGGTCTTTGGAATGGTGTTAACATAATGGTTGCTTTACTCTTCATCTCCTTAACGGCGGTAACCAAACTCATCTGCGTCATCTGCACGGAAATCTCCATAGCGCCAAATGTTGAGCTGATGAGAGAAAGACTTAATTTAACCACAGTGAGAGAAACAAGCAGATATATAGAACAGCTAATTCCTGCAAAGCTAAAAGGGGGTCTGCATCGCCATCTCCCTTCACTCCCCCCCGCCATCAAGCCACCCTCCAACACCACTCAGTCTATTACTTCTCCTGTTCCATTACCCAGACACTGCATCGCCTCATAAACCGCCACATGCATCCTCTAAATGTCGCAGTTACCACAAAGTGGCTGCAAAAGTGTGCATAGTTATGCAAATGTTTTAAAACTATCCCATCCTTTTGTTTGAATGTGTAACCATTTTCGTGTAGGATGATTTTTTTTTTTTGTTCTCAGAGGCATGTGCACTCAGCTGTTAACGCTGTGATTCATAGCTAATTAGCAACTCTGCTAATTAGCGCCAGTTATTAGGATGAATGAAACCATTTTCCATTTCCCACACTGCTGCCTTTTTTGTGCTCCTTTCTGACATCCTGAAAACGCAGCAGTGATTCGGATCAAGCTCTGTATTACAGTCACCTGACTGTTATTGTGGGAACATGCTGTAGAACTACTGGGTTAATAATAGATTACAGGAGCAATGCATTGTTCAGGAACTGAAGCTCTACACTACAGCTGAAGTGGTGGACCCAGACATTTTGGCAGGCTGCATATCAGAGCTTCAACATTTAGGAATTCAGACTAAAGAAAATTACTCAGTAAAATCAAATATAAATTTAGTTTAGACCACAAGAAAATGTACATGTTGTTTGTAACGATTGATAGATGAAGGAGTCTGACAGAAGTCTTAACTATTTTCATGTTACAACCTCTAATTTCTATTCAGTTTTTTAGGGGCGTGAGGATCTTATAAGCACAAACTAATCCCTAATCGTGAAGGAAAAGAAAAATTATACAACGTCTGACATTTTATTAAGCCATCCTTACATAAATCTGCTTTTTTCAAAACATTCCCATTGTAGCTCTTGCTGCATAGAAACATGAGCTCTTAAAAAAACCAAACATCCTAGAAGTCTGTACAACTTCCACATATGAATTTAAATTTACTCTCAACAACAGTATCTGCTGTTTGCTCAGTGATATTCTTTTTTTGTACAACAGTTAAAGAATCCAAAAGTTGGTCCTGTTTCTCTCCTCTGTGAACCTCAGGTTGCAGCTGGTCAGAGCTCACTGATGACAGTTGGACCTGTCTAATCAGCTTTTTAATAAAGCAGATGAGTTCCAATCATGGACTAATTTCTCTTCTGAGATCCAACTAAACTGACCTGTGCTCAGCAGGTGTTGATAAAAACAATATAAAGTAGTTTTATCAATATTAGGAAATAGCACCTTGTAGTGCCGTAGCTTTTCCTTTTTAATGATTAAGTCTGTCCATCTGTGACATCATGACCCGGCGTATACTGCATTAACTTCGAAACAGCTTGGTGGATAGAGAAGTCAGAGATGAACTATTTTTAAGAAGCTGCTGCAGAAACCTCATAATGTTCAGGTAGAGTGCAAGACAACGAGTCCAGATCATGTGCATCAGCTGATCTTGAGAGAATTTTTTTTTTTTTTTTTAAGTATTTGGTTACTAGTGCTCTGCTGTTTCTTTTCTACAATGACTGTAACAGCAGGTTAATCTACTTTTGCTTCAACCTTAAGAGATGTTAAGTTTTCAAGTAAAAGGAAAACTAATCTGTGCAAACAGCAGGTTAACCTATTGTTAAAATCATGCATTGTCCTTTCATTTAAAAAGGCTTTGCTATTGAGAATAAATGACAAAGGTTAACTTATTGATTCAATTTAGAGAGCTGAACAAAATGTGACTGTATTTGCTATTGTTTATTTGAACTAAACCAGAGTTTCCTTAAAAGAAAAATTTAGGAGATTTCCAGTATGCAGGTATTTATTTTTGACTAAAGATTTCTTGTCATTATTTCCAAGTCACTGATTCGATGTAAAATTAAAAATGAATTGTTACACCTTAAGTTCCAAAAAAGTGAGAAATCACGGGCTTTAAACTAAATTACGGTTACCACGGTAACAGAAAAAGAGGTTAATTAAACTCTCTTCGTGAAATGGGCCTCTGCAGTTTATCACAAAGATCTATGTGAAAAGCCTTAGTCTATTGTAACATGACACCAAGCCTAAACAAGGAAGGCATATCTAAGTAGAAAGGATATCAAATAAATTTTATTTATTCTTCATTTATGGACAAACTACTTAATAGAGATGCAACATTAAACAAAAATAAGTAAAAGTTACTTACCCTGGCACTCTTGGCAGATTCTTGGCTGTTAAGGTACTCCGTCACCTAGAGAAGAAAGAAATAATTCATTAACATAACCATAACTGTGTCACATGTGACTTCAAGGATTCCAGTGAACCACTGCATCATTTCAACCAGCTCTTCTGCTGGAAACTATTTCTTACAATCTTAAAGAATAAATTTTCAAGTTTTTCCTTCAAAGCCTACATTTTTAGTAGGAAGGCTACATTCTCACTCTCATTGTAACAGAGGTTATAAAGAGCTAAGTCAACTCTGAAGATCAACAGGTTCAAGATAACAGACTGGTGTGGAAAGCATAGCAGACATTTTGACGTCACATGATGGCTCACTTTATGGGGTCATTGCTTTCCCTGCAACAACTTAAACCATCAAAGCCAACTGAGATGAGAGCCTTTCTTAAATCCTCCTGCCTCTCTAGCCTTGGGCAAACACCTCGTCAGATTGGAGGAGCAATTTATAATCAAGTGCACTAGCAGGACGCCATAAGGAAGCCACAAGCTAAAAAGGAGTACAAGTCTCAAATGTGATCTTTATTTTACTGCACTGTAGGAGAGAATCAGACATCTGACACTTTGCAAAGAAACTTTAAGGGAAAAAGATTCTCAGCACTATTTTTCCTTGAAGTCAGTTTTTATAGTTTTCCTTTTATTTAATAGTTCACCCAATAATTCGGTCTTAATTGTATATGATGCTAAATTAAGCTTCATTAGTACATGTTTCTTTCTACTTTTTCATTGCAGATTAAAGACTTAATTTGTATCATGTGCACATCAGTTTTGAAATTTAAATGCGAAGTTTTACTCAAAATTTATGGAAAAGGATTAGTGTGTGTTCTTTCCCAGAGGCTTGAAGGTATGAAGTCTAAAAATTAATAGACAAAGATGGAGGAACAGGCATGTGAATGAAAAAAAAAACCCATATTGACACAATCAGATGTCTCTATCCATCCAAATCTGAACTTAGTGTGGGGTTGCAAATATTACTGATTAGAGGTTGAGGAAACACATTATTTAGGGTGGGGGGGAGGTGGTTTTTGGCATGTGATACCTATTGAGTGAGTGCATGAGCCACATCAGAAGCAAGATAGAAGGACTATATATTGTATCAGTCCTTGGAACAGTGACTGTTTAACTAACTGCAGTTTTCCTTCTGGACTGGCTACCTCTCCTACTCCAAAAGAGAAGCAACACTGCAAAGTAGAACTATTTAATTGTTAAACATGATTAATAAATGGACACAAGGATTCCTTTGTGTTACTGAAAACACATAAGATATATAGAGTTCGAGGAGAAGTGAAGGCTGATGTGCAGAGTTGAACATATTGAGTGCTTCTGCTAGAACAGCCATTTAGACTCATTGAATAAACCAGTGATGAGTCAGAAAACAGAACAGGGTGGTGGGGGTTAGAAGAGGGAACATTTGCTTAGGTGGGAAGTCTTTACGAGGATGTATGGACCTTGGAGAGTTAAAAGTGTCCTGCATATTGCCAATATCAGACCACATTATGCACAGAGTCACAAAGTAATACCACAACATATGTCACCTTTGGCCACTTCACAGTAGTTCTGTTGATACAATCTGTGCAGCAGATTTAAAAAAATGCATTTCCTGGTTCAACACAAAGGAAATCAACTATAAGGAAGAAGAGAATCAAATTTCCCTTGCAGCAAAGATGAGACCATGTCATGGATTCAATTGTGCACCGCTTTTGGTAGCTGATTACAACAGCAGACGAGCTGGCGTGCACTCAAGCACCAGAACAAGCATGCCAGATGTTAAAACAGTCGAGTGGGATGGGGATGGATAGGACTCTGGAGTTTAATTGCTTAGCTAGCTTGTGCACATAGGTTGATTAGATATCTGCACTGCACACGGCCAAGATAACAGACCTACAGCTGGATGGTGCAGACACTCTGAATGCGTGAATGTGGGTGTGTGTGGCGAGGAAAGTGCTGTGTCTGCACAAGGCATCCATCAAAACCAACTAAAGCAAGAGATTTTTTGGAAGGCGGATGACTGTGGCATGTTACTCCCACCAGACAGATGTCACCATATGGAGGACCCCACCAATGATATTTCACAGACACAAAAAGGACAGAGATACAATTTGGGCTTTGCAGGAAAGCTAAGCCAAGAGCCCATAGGATGTTTTCTTCCCCCCTAAAAAAGCATTACAAAACATGACAAATTTAGGGAGAAAAAGGAGAAGAAAAGCTAATCTTTTAACAAATTAAAGGTCTTCATGTAAATGCAAAATATTTCGCAACCGATGCACAGTCAAGAGCTCTACAACACAATACGTGAAGATGAAGCGGTGCCGTTTTGAAATGATCACTTTATTGGTCGGGAGGGTTCAACCCTCATCTTTCACCGTTCTCCACACTCCAGCTCAGTAAACACAACAGCCAATCAGCCAAACTACGGATTGCTTTTTTTTTTTTTTATAAAGAGCACCGCGTATCGGGCTCCGGATCCGTCTTTCACTGCTCTTCTATGGACTCCAGTAGGGATGCGTAATGGCTCATTTATGACTCAAATGCTTGCAAAAACCCACCCGGCGTGGCAAAGACAAGGATTTTTTTCCTCATTTAGGAAACAACTGTGGCATGAAATACACAGGAAGGAAGGGGAATGCAAAATGATGATTGTGATGAGTTCTATGCTGTATTATGTAAAAAAAAATGTCACAGCAAAGTGAAGAAGAAAGTTTTCATTAAGAAAACCTAAAGATTGTTAGGTTGAAAATGAATTGCAGTATTTAGGAGTTAAGCACTGTTAAGGGACATGGGAGGAAGACTAAAAATGCAGCAATTGTAAAGGGTTTGGGGAGTAGAGAGCAGCTGGTGATAGTGTTTGTCTGGATGACCCAACAGAGATCCCATATGCCAGACAGATGCCAGTATGATGAGAAGTGGCCAGAGACACTGGCAGAAGGTAAAAGACAGTTTGGTTAAAGCTGTAACTGCATGTTTAAGAGTGCCCCCCTAATGAGATTATTTTTTCCCCTTTTATTTAACACAAAACAAGCAGAGATTTGACAGTTTGAGTCCATCACTTCATTAGTTCCTATTTAACTATATTACACTGCACTGACCTCACTGCCACATTTATGGGAAATTATATGCAGGTAACTGACAGAGAATCAGATGAGAGACTGTATGCGAGGCTTTTGGTGAGCTAAACGACAGGTGGTGTGGACCCGGCGCTTTGGCACCGCTTAGTTTCTATGACTGGCTGTGAATCTGAAAGAGTGAGCTGAGCGCTGGCCCTCGTGCATGTCCAGGTGGTGTTCTGGTAAATGTGGTGTGAAAGTGATGGACGTAACAATGAGCTAGCGGTGCACGTCTTTAACAGGTTTAGTCCGTCTGGTGCGTAGGTAAGCTGACATTTTACTCATTGATTATAAAGCTTGTGGAAATGTAAAATAAAAACTGTAATTCTGAATAAAGTGTACACAAATAGCAATTTATTAAATGAAGGTTTGATTTACTTATTTAATTGAAATACACTCAAGTGGAACAAAAGCAATAAGGCTTCTAATGAACAATACACTTTAAATCAGTAATCATAAGCAGGTAAACTTAAACAAATTACTACCTTTTCCTGCTTTCCTTTGAGGCCTTTGTTTCCACATATTTCTCTCTTTTTGTTTTACAACTGTTGCGCTATCATACATTTGACAGTTTTCATAATTGTTCTGGTTAAAATTTCATAATATCACAGACTCAAATTTCCAGTTTTGTCCTTTTCAGCCATATTTTCTACAATCAGGATTTAGATGTGGACCTTGAGGAAAGGACAGATGCATGGAAAGGGAAGGGAAGGAATAGTACAGGTGACAGGATCAATGGACATACTACAACTACAGAAGGAGGAAAAACAGATAGAAACAATAATGTTTAAGTGAAAACAAACTTTTACATGCATAATTTTCTTTTGTCCATACTTGGAGAAGAACACATGGAATCTCCATTCATCCTGTTGACTCAATAGAACTGTTGCTAATGCACCCAGTTTTGTTCTAACATGTAATCTCAGACTCTGACAGCATCCAGAGCAGAAATCTGCACACAACAGTCATCATAAGAGCATGTACTGAAACATAACGGCTTTTATGTTTTTAGCCCACACTGTTTCAAGCTGAGAGTACTTGGCTGCGGGACTGTCCTAAGAGACATTTCTAGTTTGACATGCCCATGCATGAATACTGCATGGTAAGCAGAGAGGAGGCCAGGCTTGCGGGGAGGGTTGGGGTCTCTTCAGACTAGTTATCTTACAAGTGGTTTGATGGAAAGGAGCTTGTCTTGTAAGCTCCATAGCAAACCAGAGAGAGAACCCTGGAAGACCTGCCAAGGCAATTCTGAAATGCACATAAACATGAATGAAAAGTAATTTCTGTCCCTAGTCCTCATAATCTATTAGGCTGATCACAATAATGGCTCAATGCATAGTTTTTAGGAATTTAACTTCAATAATAATGGTTGCTGTCTGAGGTGTTAGTCAATGTGTGGCCTGCATGCATCAGTAGAGCTGGCTGAAGTTATTGGGTGGCTCTAACCCAGCTACATGACAAAACAATCATTGGAATGAAGGCCTGCTTTACAGATAAATACGACAGATTTCAAGATTTCTTTCAGAAGGATCTCAAAACGGGGAGTACAATATGTAGAAAAGCAGGTGCTTGCTACCTTCTGCAAGGTTGTTTGGCTTATTACAGCACCACATGCATAGTTCACCATCTCCCTTAACGGAACGCAAACGGTTTAGACAACAGACGAATCAAAACCACCTAAATGATTGAGATTCTAAAGGCATGCACACAAATTGTTTAATATATTTGCCAAATATTAAAACAAGCAAGCCAAGGTTGGATTAACTGTTTCTATGGTAATATGATCACTATGGCAATTAGATCACTTTCATGTATAGAAGACGTGCAGCTGATGCCAGCCAATCATGCAACACCTGTAACTCCCTCTCCTTGGAGGGCAAAACAAACGGCAACAAAAACATGAAAATGTCCT